GATTGGAACATCAGTATGCAGGATATACTTCAAAAGTGTGAGGATGTAATTAATTCACTAGGACAAAAGAAAAAGAAGAAAGCTACTGATGACTTCAAGAGAACAAGTTTGTCTGTCAGGTTTGTACAATGATTTGCTTTTCCTCTGGATGTCGTCTCTTGTTGAATGTTATGCAGAATTTATCCAGAAAGCAAGTCTGATGTTGATTTCTACCTTTCCAGTTATCTTCTTTCCATCATTTTTGTTCTTCATATTGTACTGTCCACGTGTCTAGCTACCAGATTATAATTGATTTATCTCCAATGAACAGTGAGTGCTGCTCTTTCCAAGATCCTTGTGGGAGAAAAGATTCAGATATGCCTTGTTTGATGTTCTCCTACAGTGCCACCGATCCTGATCTAGAAAGAACTCTTGATGTTCTTTGCAATACAATTTACCCGGTTCTGCTGGAAACAGTGATCAAAGGTATTTGAATAACACTTTCATTTTTGTATATTTCTCTTGTTTCCCTACCCGTCGATTTCTTCTTTGATGGGGGTGCAGTGTATATGATAGTCTTCCTTTCAAATTTTTCTAGTTATATGGCTTGCGAAATTTTGCTTTTTTGCCAGAAGTTAAATGAACCAAAATATTTTCTCAACTAGTCTGATTGAATTTTCCCCCAAGTTGTGATCGAAATTCTGTGCTACTATAAAGAAAGCCTATGTTTTAGTAAGATTTCTAGATAATGTTTTTGATGTTACTCCTGTATCTAAACTGAGCAGGTGACCCACGGATTTGCTCAGCAAATATAATCTGGAATAGTTCAGACATGACAACGTGGATCCGGAATTGTCATGCATCCCGCCGAGGGGAATGGGTTTTGGATGTCACTGTTGAAAAATCTGCTGTCAAGCAAAGTGGTGATGCATGGAGGGTTGTGATAGACGCATGTCTTTCAGTGCTTCATCTAATAGACACAAAACGGTCAATCCCTTATTCTATAAAACAAGTGCAAGAATTGCTTGGGTTATCCTGTGCTTTTGAGCAAGCAGTACAGGTACTTAATAACTTAAAACGTGATCCGTGCACTGGATCTTACACTTAAGTCATGATACTTCTTACATATTTCATGTTTGGTATCATATTTGCTCATTGTTTGTGTAAGGAAGTTAAATGTAAGATGTTGATTTGATTTGCAGCGTCTATCAGCTTCAGTGAGAATGGTCTCCAAAGGAGTTTTGAAAGAACACATCATTCTCCTAGCAAACAACATGACTTGTTCAGGGAATATGTTGGGTTTCAATTCTGGAGGTTACAAAGCTTTGACCCGATCCTTAAACATCAAGGCTCCATTCACAGAAGCAACTCTGATTGTTAGTTGTTCGATCCTTTAATGTCTAATGCAAATTATTTTCTCAGACTATATACAGGCCGTCCATGATAACAGGAATTACTTTTTGCGCTTTTAGACACCAAGAAGATGTTTTGAGAAAGCGGCTGAGAAATGTCATACAGATTCTCTGTCAACAGTCGTTGGGTCTTGTTCTTGGGGAAAACGCGTGGATGTTGGTACAGGTTCACAGTTTGAGCTCCTATGGAACCAAAAAGAGGTAGAGGAAATCATACCAATTGACTGAGGTTTTCTCATATAAGTTTGTTATGCAATTTGATGACATTTACTGTCAACTTATTTGCAGACTGGTCTAGATGATAAAGAAGAAACAGATGTGTACAGCTTTCTCCAAATGGTCAGATCCACGACAAATGCAGATGCATATGTTTCTTCCCCTGGTTTTGATGTTACAGAGGAAGAAATGGCTGAATGGGCTGAATCGCCCGAGCGAGACTCTGCTCTTGGAGAGCCCAAGTTTGAGGACAGTGCCGAGTTCCAAAATTTACATGACGAAGGCAAGCCATCAGAATCCAACTGGGAGAAAAGCTCTTCATGGGACAATGGTTGCAGTGGTGGTTCAGAGTGGGGAGTCTCAAAAAATACAGGTGGTGAGGCAAACCCGGAGTCTAATTGGGAAAAGACTACAAATGTTGAGAAGGAAGATGCTTGGTCTAGTTGGAACACTAAAAAAGATGCTCAAGAATCTTCCAAGTCAGATTCAGGGGTTGCTTGGGGCTTAAAGACAAAGGATGATGATGCAGATACAACACCAAACTGGGAAACAAGACCAGCTCAGACGGATTCTATTGTCCCAGAAAATAATGAGCCAACTTCTGACGTTTGGGGACACAAATCTGGTTCAGACAAATCTTGGGACAAAAAGAACGGGGGAACTGAATCAGCTCCTGCTGCATGGGGTTCTACAGATGCTGCTGTTTGGGGTTCTAGTGATAAAAAGAACTCGGAAACGGAATCAGATGCTGCTGCTTGGGGTTCTAGGGACAAAAAGAATTCTGAAGTTGGATCAGGTGCTGGTGTTTTGGGTCCCTGGAACAAGAAGAGCTCGAAAACTGAGTCAGATGGTGCTACTTGGGGTTCTAGTGACAAAACTAAATCAGGTGCTGCTGCATGGAGTTCTTGGGACAAAAAGAACATGGAAACTGACTCGGAACCTGCTGCTTGGGGTTCTCAGAGCAAAAATAAACCTGAAACTGAGTCAGGTCCTTCTACTTGGGGTGCTTGGGATACAAAGAAATCGGAAACTGAATCAGGTCCTGCTGGTTGGGGTATCGTGGACAAAAAGAATTCTGAAACTGAATCAGGTCCTGCTGCTATGGGTAATTGGGACAAAAAGAAATCGAATACTGAATCAGGTCCAGCTGCTTGGGGTACTTGGGACAAAAAGAGATCGGAAACTGAATCAGGTCCTCCTGCTTGGGGATCTACAGATGCTGCTGTTTGGGGTTTTAGTGACAAAAACAATTCGGAAACTGAATCAGATGCTGCTGCTTGGGGTTCTAGGGACAAAAAGACTTCTGAAACTGAATCAGGTGCTGCTGCTTGGGGTTCTTGGGGACAGCCAACTCCCACTGCAGCAAACGAGGATGCCAATGAAGATGATGAAAACCCGTGGGTTTCCTTGAAGGAGACCAAAAGTAGAGATAAGGATGATAAAGAGAGAATCCAGTGGGGAAATCCAGCCAAGAAATTTCCATCTAGTGGTGGCTGGTCCAATGGTGGTGGTGCAGACTGGAAAGGAAAGAGGAACCATACTCCTAGGCCACCTAGATCTGAGGATAATTTGGCTCCCATGTTTACAGCAACGAGACAGCGCTTGGACTCATTCACCTCTGAGGAGCAAGAGCTGCTCTCAGATGTTGAGCCAGTCATGAGGACTCTCAGGAAAATAATGCATCCGTCTGCGTATGCCTTTCTAGTTCTTAAGCTCAGTCTATACAATTTCCAGTTCTATGTATAATTAATTATGCTGTTTAACATTCCATCTACTTGTTATGCTTCATCTTTCTAAAACTATGTTTTTTCAATGAAGGTACCCTGATGGAGACCCAATTTCTGATGATGACAAGACGTTTGTCCTGGAGAAGATTTTGAACTTCCATCCCCAAAAAGAGACAAAGCTCGGTTCTGGTGTTGATTTCATCACGGTAAAACAGCATTCTCCTTGACAAACTTAGCTTCTCTTCTGAAGCTTACTTAGCCTTATGCCTGATGTGAAATTCTTGGTTGAACAACAATGTAGGTTGATAAGCACACCATCTTCTCAGACAGCAGGTGCTTCTTTGTTGTCTCAACTGATGGGGCCAAACAGGACTTTTCATACCGAAAATCCCTCAACAACTATTTGATGATGAAATACCCTGACCGCGCTGAAGAATTCATTGACAAGTACTTTACGAAACCTCGGCCTAGCGGAAACAGAGACAGGAATAACCAAGATGCCACACCACCTGGGGAAGAACAGTCTCAGCCTCCGACTCAGTCTATAGGTAATGGTGGTGACGACTTTAACACTCAGACTCAGTCTCCATCTCAGACTCAGGCTCAGGCTCAGGCTCAGGCTCAGGCTCAGTCTCCATCTCAGACTCAGACTCAGTCTCCGTCTCCATCTCAGACTCAAACTCAGTCTCCGTCTCAGACTCAGGCTCAGGCTCAGTCTCCATCTCAGTCTCCGTCCCAGACGCAGACATACTCTTGAGAACCAAAGAAGATTTGGTTGGTTTAGGTAAACCATTGAGTCTCCACTGTTTTGTTTTGAGATGTACATAAAGAGTGGAGAGAATGGCGGGTTTTATTTATCATTAAAAGGCTCTGCTGTGAAGTGCAAAACAATGTGTAAATGCAGTTCTCTAGTTTCAGATCGTTTGTCCTTAAATCAGGTTTAGGTTTCAGTGACTTGTTTAGTTTTAAAGTCTAGCGGCATTGTAGTGATGCTTTGACATTGACTATTTATTGAGCAATGCATTTGCCATCTCATATGCTTCTTGTTTGCAGTTTGTTTTCAAACTTCACTTTGAATGTGTTTTAGGATCTTCACTTCAACGCATATCACTCCACTACCTGCCCCAACCAAAATAACAACCTGAGCATATAATCCAAACTTAAAATGAATGAGGAAGGGAGAGTCATCTCTCTCTCCATTCTCCATCTGATGTCAAACTAATTGATGATATTTTCAACTCCTTAAAACAGAAATTAAAGACATCAAATTTCTTACTCGAATAGTCACAACACGGAATCAGATGTCTTCCTCGCTTAGAGCCTTAGAGCTAGATTATTATTTTGGTTTTAGGTGGTTTTGTATCGGTTTAGGTCGTTCACCGATTAAACTAACGTCTGTGTCTTTGGGAGATATAATAAGATTACAAGTATGTTTTATGGGAACCATAGTTTGAGCTCTATCTATCTAGTGCTATATATCATTGGAAAATAGATAGTTTTCCCCTTTAAAATTCAATAATTTTGATGTTTTGTTGTTTCTTTACTACATTACCTTTTCTACCATGTTTCTATCTCTACCTTGATTCCATGATTTCTTGCGTGTTTTAGCTTTTTCTATTAAAATCATCGAAGCCACGCTTAACTGTTTAAGAAGTCAAACTGAAAGTAAAAGGAGAAATTACGCTTTATTTAAAAGAGGTTGAATGCTCATACATCTTTACAAATTCTCTATCTCATAAAGACATATCATAGAACATGCTATGTTGTTATCTCTCTTAAATATTTTCCCCTGACAACGTTTCTTGCAATAATAGCACAATGGTCGAGAAATATTGCATTTGCCAAGAATTTCAAACTTCCCACCCGAATCTTCAGGATATTTACCAAGCTTCATATATGGGTCTTCTCCTAATACGCATTCGATATGAAAAGTAGTGTAACACTCGTTGCACCAATAGAACACTTTTGTGCCCGTATCTTTTAAATTCTGTTCGCATACTTCACACCAATCTTTCTCGCGTACTTCTTCACCATATGAAATTGTGAGAAAGTGTGTGTCATGCTTATATTTTGTTTTGTATGGTAAGGTAACACATCTGAAACATACAATAAAATTGCATCCGCATTGGATGCAATTTAATTGTTCTTGACATTCTCTTTTGCATACATGACATATGGGTTTTACTTCTGGGTTTAAAGCTAGGAACAAGGGATGTTCATGACCTTTGTAATCAAACGGCTCAGAAATTGAAGCACACCTTACATCTAGAGTATACCGGCATTCATCTTTGTAACACCCATAGTAAAAGCCACTATATCTACGATCACAAGCATCGCAATAGGAATAATCTACATCGACAGCCTTCAATGTAAGTGGATGACGATGTAAGGCATGTTGGATTCTACGGGGAGCCTTAGCACAATTTTCATGGAGGATGAACTCACACTCCACACAAGAATAAAAGTTACCTTCATAGATAGGAAGGACACACGCTTGACAAAATTTATTTTCGTCAAAAAGTTTGATGCTCTCTAGCCTGAGAGGATGGTCATGAAGAAAATGAAGTATTTCTCCTTCAGATATCATCTCAAACGGCCTGACATTTTCTGTAATATCATCCTCTTCTGGTACACCTTCGAGTTCTTTTCCATCCCACAAATCCTTCCTTGTAGCACATATTGAATGAACGGCATAATCATTACACTTGTCACAAGTATATGCACCGTAATCACCATTAACACTTTGACGACAAACTCCACATAACCGTTCTCTGGATAGAAAAGAAAGAGTGAAGGAGATACGATGGTGGTGACGTGATATCTTGATGATGTGTGGGAAATTCATACAATCATTATGAGCTACAAAGTTACATCTTAAACAAACGTAGGTGGGATAAGTTTTTCTGGACAAACCACAAACGTTACAAGTTAAACCTATTTGTCTCGGGAAAAAGGTGAGAGGATGGATATGCTGTTTTGGTGGGTCTATAATAAAGGGTATTGGCTTCATCGCACATGTTGGATGCATATAAGCCTGACATATGGTACAATGATAAACTAACCTCATTGCTCTTCTTCGGCAACATAAGCACTCAATATCAGTTAGAGGAAGAAAGTAAAGTTGGAGAGAATGCTCAGGGTGGTAAGGGTGTTTGATTTTAAGAGGAGACTGGACGCATTCTCTATGGAATTTTTTATCACAGTTGTTACAGAAGTAATAGTCTGTGCCGAAATTTGAGCCTCCGCATATGTCGCACCCACCATCAGCATCAAATTCTTTATTGTTGCACCAAAACAAAGGAAGTACATGATGATCATTGGAATCCGTTGTTGTAGGGAAGACGTACTCGGGGGAAGAATTGAGCAGAAAAGTGGATGAGTTGATGGTATATTTTCTTATACGAGGGCATAAGAAAAGAGGTTGAAGAGGAAGGTCGGTGGGGGAGGTTAGGGTCTGTGTTTCGGGTATGGGACAATATTTGGGGTGATGGTATACCAAAAACAGTTTACCATCCTTTTCCACCTCATGAAATCCACCGTTAGAATCCATCTCACTCTCTCTTAGTCTTTCTTTACTATATTTGTGTGAAAGGCAATTTTAAAAATGATTTCTGCTATAGAGGATATCAAGTTGTTAACAATTTTCCACTATAAATAAATGATAATTTGATTCCAAAAGTGTTCTTCTACTTTAGAGTAACGTGAAAACATGATGCATTTTGTTCTTTTCTTTGTAGTGGTAATGGTATTCTTTACATGCAAATAAAGTATCAACTTTCCTTGGCATGATAGTTTTCGTCATTTTAAAAATTTTCCGATTCTTTGAGATTCTCGATCAATTCATTGTGCCAAATAGATTTGAGACTTTATGAATTAGGTCATGAAACACAGAAAAATAAGGTTTGAATTTGAATAACAAGTTTCTTTCAAATTTTCAGTAGATTAAGAGCTATGAATTGGAACATTGTAAGTCTAGGATTGAGATTGAGAATAGTGGATCGGTTGAAACCTAAACCATAACTAAACCGGAGTACTCGTGATGAATTAGAAATATTTGGGCTCGGAAGAAAGGCCCATTAGAAAAAATACAAGAAAAAAACACAAATCTGCGTTATTATTACAGATTTTGCCATTTTCATTTCCAAGCTTGAAAAGACAAACAAGAGAGAGTCGCGAGTTCTTCGTTCGTTCTGCTTTTTTTTTGTTCGAAGAGATGTCTGTCTTTGAAGACGATTCCTTCGTCATACTCAACGATGATGCGTCTGAGTCTGTTCCAGTCTCAGGCTCTTTTGACGCCATTGACTCTTTCTCAGCCTACGACGGCTCAGTCCAAGTCGATGACTCCGTCGACGATGTTTTTGCAGCGCCTTCTTCTGACTACGGTGCTTACTCGAACGGTGACGGCGTCTTCGGATCCAACGGTGAACACGACGGTCCTATCTTGCCACCACCGTCGGAGATGGAATCAGATGAGGGATTTGCTCTTAGAGAATGGAGAAGGTTAGATCTACTCAAAGTTTTGATCTTTGTTAATTTAGGTTTACTTCTTCCTGAATAAAATCGATAAAGTGGATACCTTTAGTGTAGAAAACTGAGAATCTCTTTGTTAATCTGAGAGTTTCAATTTTGGATTTTGATTCACAATTTTGTAAATTTGAAGTTGTCTGCTAGTTAGTGTCCATTGTTCTCAGAAGTAATCAGTTTATTAGATCGGATCTGTGGCTCTTGCTTAGAGTTTATTGCTCAAGTCGTATGTTCTGCAATAACATGTTGATCCTTAAGCTTGTAATGCTTGTATAGATCTGATTTATTGATATGGCTTTATGTTTATGTGTAGACATAATGCAATTCAACTTGAAGAGAAGGAGAAGAGAGAAAAGGAATTGTTGAAGCAAATTATTGAGGAAGCTAATCAATACAAAGAAGAGTTCCATAAGAAGATTGAAGTAACTTGTCAAAACAACAAAGCAGCTAACAGGGAGAAGGAAAAGGTGTCTTCTTTTCTCAATCTGTGTTGTTGTCATGTGGTTTGTGGTGAATGGTCAATGGAAGAGTCCAATGGCTTGTTGAAATTAAGATTTTCAAACTTTGACCATCTTAGTCTTAAGTCAACTGTGATTGATTATCTTAATGCATTGTCAGTTTTGTGATTTCTTCCTAAGATGATCTAATATGTTTTACTTGTTGTAGTTAATTGTGATCTTTGGTAACTTTTTAGCTGCGTATTGCATTGTTACAGTGTTGGTTAAACTTTCGCTTACGTGTTTTGTTTGTCTTTTAACACTTAAGCTGTATCTGGAGAACCAAGAGAAGTTCTACGCGGAATCCAGCAAGAATTACTGGAAGGCAATAGCAGAGCTAGTTCCTAAAGAGGTTCCAACAATAGAGAAAAGAAGAGGAAAGAAAGAGCAACAAGACCCTAAGAAGCCATCAATCTCTGTGATTCAAGGTCCAAAGCCCGGTAAGCCAACCGATCTAACAAGAATGAGACAAATATTGGTGAAGCTCAAACACAACCCACCTTCTCACCTGAAGCTCACTTCTCAACCTCCATCGGATGAGGCGGCTGCTCCTCCAAAGAATGTTCTCGAAACCAAGCCCACTGAGGCGGTTACTGCTGCTTAAAAACCTCTTTGGTTTTCTTATTCATTGCTTACATCTTGTGTGAATTCGGTCTTTGCATTTCATTATGTGTTATAAACAGCTGAGAGATCTTATGGGTCATGTGTGTTATTAACATAATTATGTCATATTGGAATGATAACTTTTTATGTTTGAATTCAGTCAGTTACCATTGAAAAGTGGTTAATATCTTCAACCAATCTGTTAAAGGATCATCCAATTTAGGGTTAAAACGTAGAGACGAGAGTGGAGAGGTTTACATAAAACGTCAAAACGCTACTTCACATATCATCATCATCAAACTCGTGTGATAATAAAAACTCACAAACAATAAAGAAAAGAGATTCTCAAAGGTGAACGTTTTACAAAAGGCTTTTCTTTTCTTTCTTCCTTCATCTCCCTTGTAAGCTTGCAGGGGACCTGCAACCTCTCTCGCTGCCTGCGTCGTCTTCCTTTTCACTTGCCTCTAAGCAAATGCCATTGTTGTTGCAGACACTGATCTCTGAGCTTGCGTTGCTGCTTGTTGCCAGAGGAGAAGAATCTGAAACATTCATCGGTCTACCACGTGTATGTCCAGACCTCACACTGTACATTGATGATGCTGGAATGTTCGTCATTAGTGGTCTCAGATTCCCTGGAATAGTTCTACGTATGTCCTGTTTTCATCAAAACGTTTGATCATCAGTTAAACACAATTCCCACCACTGTTGAACAGAGAAGAGAGAGAGGTACATACCATATGCCTTATTGCCATATCAAGGGACTTCTTGGAGAGCGTTCTTCCAAATCCTGCACTGTCTGGTGATGAAGACTTTGCAGACAAGTTACCATGAGGAGAACCCTTGTCATCTGATCTGGGAGGAGCAAGTTTCCGCATGTTTATTACTCTCTCCACCATTTTTGTTCCCATCATCACCGGGCTAACATTGTCACTGGCTTTGGAATATCCACGATTAACCGCAGGAACAGAGCTACCACTAGAGTACATTGGTGCTCTTCCTCTTGATGGTGAACATGATTGCCTTCTTGGTCTTCCTCCTGGAGGACCCCCTGGCTCAACTGAACCAGAACGAGGGCTTGGAGCTCCAGGTCTGCCTCTTGTCGCTGAAAGTGGCCTTTCGGGTAATGTTGTCCTTAGATTTGGAGGAGTTTCTAATGAGAAACCAGGCATGTCTGATGGCTTCCATGGTCTTGACCTCACTGTAGGAGATGCTGCACGAGATAAAGCAGGGTTCTTAGATGGTGTTGGCATAGGCTTTGCTGGCGCTGGAGAAGAAGGCTTAATTTGGGATATTGTGGGCTTTGCTGTAGTAGTTGTAGCACTTGCAGAAGCAATTGGACGGCGAGTTGGTGTAGATGACCTTGATATGGTTTTAGATGGAGGAAGTGTGGGTCTTGAAGTTGGTGTTGAAGATCTGGCAGTAGATCTTGACAGAGGTGTTGTGGACCTTGAAGGACCTGCAGATTTTGTGGCGGTGCTGGGGGTAGATCTAGTTGCTGAACTAGCAGATCTAGCAGTTGAAATAGTCGGCTTAGATGCAGTCGGTGTGAGCCTAGATGATAAACTAGTTGACCTACTCATAGGAGTGGGCTTAGTTGTTGCAGATACTGTGGACCTAGAATTAGTCAAAGAAGGTCGAGTAGTTGAGGAGACAGTAGCTCGCGAAGTGGGTGTTGAAGGCCTTGAGGATTTTGAATTTGTCGTCAGTGTTGATGATCTTCCAGTGGGTGTGGCAGGTCTTGATCCAGGTCCTCCAGACGATGAAGGTCTTCGACTTGCTCCACTTGAAGAGCTCAATCCAGGAGAAGAAGTTTGTTGTCTAGATGTTAGATGGTTCCTTGCAGCAGGCTCTGTTGAGGAATTCGCCAGCTACAACAAATAATTCATAGGTTACCGTAACGAAGTGATTCCAAATATAAAAAAAGTTCAGAGATCGAACAATTATGCTACTGAAAATACAAGAATCTGATTTGGGATATGTATTTCTTGTATCAAACTTATGCTACTGAAAATGCGCTACTCTAAGAAAAATCCAGAGCAACATCACACATAACAATTAAGTATAAATCCAATTTACTAGTGAAAATCATGAAACTTGAGATGTAAACATCACAGACTGATGCGGCAGGTTAACCAGTAGTGGCGGTTCAAAACAACAATATCAGCAAAGCTTTATTTTAACACTGGTTGCACTACTTTAGGCTGTTTATCTAGTATCCAGGAGTTGATAAAAAAGGTCAGAACACTAAGCAATAACATTCTTACCCTAGAAGTCAATGTAGCCGGGCGACTCTTTGAATCACCAGTCTGACTCATCATAGTCCTATGTGATTCCATCTCCAGCGATGGAAATAGAGGAGTACCTGGAGGAGTCAGAAGCCTTCGAAAGACAAGGAGAAGTTAGGGTGGAAATGATAAACAGATAATACATTGTTCAAGAAAGCATATGAATGTCTAAAAAGAGATAACAGATATGCTGCCTCATTCACAAAGATGATGAACAGTTAACGCAGCAAAATTCTACACTTGATAAGGATTCAGTGCAAGACTCACCCACCTTGCAAACAAAGGGTGCCAAATTCTGACGCCAAATTCGAGTCTATCAGATGCAACACATGCCTTATATAGACAATGATGAAATGTGAAGAAACAGCACAATTCCAAGGAAACAAAACTACGAGGTTGCATACATCAATTAACAACAATACTACCACATATATATATCACTTCAAAAACACTATACTATCACAAAGAATACTTAAACCGGTTGCACTTAAGGTGGCTGAGAAAATTCAAATCATCACCGGTGAATATGTTCACATACTGAAATTATGAACCATAGCGTCGCAACACGAAAAATTGAGATAAAAAAAAAGTTACCATTCATAGTCATTTTTATCGCCTTCAGAATTAAGAAAATCATCAGGAGCAGCTGTCTTCCGAGGTGGTGGAGCACCACTTGAGATGTTAAACACCGGTGAAGTTCCAGGCTTTGAACCTAACAAACCAAACCCCATCAAGAACTAATCAACCTCCTAGACCAAATCAGAAACATGATTCCACAAAATTAGAAAGAAAAAAACATATTACATACCTAATGGAGATTCAAACTCATCAGGGTTATTGTTAAGAAGGAGATTATCCTGCTCTTTCTCACGCCGTCTCATCTCAAGAAACAAAGAAAGCTCTTCATCTTTCTCAGCCATCATAGAAGCCCTAAGCTGTTGCCTTTGCCTCTCTGCTGAATCCAGCAAAAGAGACTCTTTTGCCCTAAAACTTCGATTCATTGCTCACCAAACTTACAACAGATCAAAGAGAGACTAACTTAGCTTCCAATTTACTCCCAACGGACCTATAATCTAAAAAGTTAAATTATTGTCTATAAACTTAAAAAAAATTGAAGAACCCAAAACGAAAAATCGAAACTTTCACAAGCTTAACTTGCAACACATTTTTCAGAAATTTCCCATTTGTAAGTTAAGTAGAAAGGAAGAAGAAAAAAGGGGAAAGTTAACTTTTTTTTTTTAATAGAAGGAAGAAGATACGAGCTTTCTTCTCAAAGAAACCGCCATTGTCGAGGAACGGAGCTCAAGACCCTAGCCCAACTACAGTTAACGGAGAAAAAAACCCAGGAGCAGAAAATAAAAACCTAACAGAGAAAGAGAGAGATTTTGGGAGATCGAGGGAGAGAGAGATTGAGGAGGAATTGGGAGAGAGAAGAGAGAAAGTGTGAAGAGGAGTGGCATTGAGTGTAATTATTGAGCTTTGAGATCGGTTAAATTGGAAACTTTCATAAGCTCAAAAAAAAAAAAAAAAAGTTTATTTTGATGAGAAATTTTTTCAGTGACGGGACATGACATCTGGACTGGTACCTAATGTGTTATCAATTGTTTCTATCGCTTGAAGCCTAAGGATTCTCTCTGCTCTTCTTCTATTTTTTATTTTTTGTAATGTGTTACTCAATGATTATTCCAATGTTTTTTTGTTTGTTTTTTTAAGATTATACTAGGATCGGACCCGGACGTACGTCCGGGGTTATGTTAACATAGAATTTTATGAATTAAAAAATTAATGTATTTAGGTTGTGTGTGTTTGTTGGGGAAACAAACTTGACATGATTACGTTAATTGTGAATATATTAGAGAGATGTTATAATTGGAAAATAATGTATGGTAAACATAGGTATCATGTGTGTAAGAATGTATGTTTGTAGTGTATGTATTAAAAAATAGTTGGAGTTTGGATGGTAAAAAAAGAAAGTAGGATGTGATAATACGTTTCGTATTGGACATATATAGCATAGGTTCAACAGATTAAAAGATATTATCAGAAAACATAATATTCTTTCGTATACAATATTTTATATTTTTGTATACAACATTTAGGGTTTGACAATTATAACCGTTACTCGTATTCGATCCTTATGGTAATTACAAAATCTTGGGGTCTTTTTATTGGAGCCTCAAGAACCCGAATAATTTTTTTTAAGTTTGTACGCTTGATAAGTCAAGTTTCATACTCCTTCTAATCTCAAATCATTTGGTATTTATATAGATGACTCTGAGCCATTGTCAAAATTTCTTAGCAATGTGGGACATTGAAAACACACTTTTTACAATGATTGAATCTTATCTTTCCGTTTTTAAAAATTCAAATCACAATATATGCAGAACGAATATATTTTTATTGACCATATGTATTGTTATAGTCAATAGTTTTCTAAGTTATAGTCAATAAGTTCGTGCGGGAAAAATGTTTTATTAATGTATTTTTATATAGTTTCGATTAAGTATAAACATATATTTTTGTTGTGATAGTGAATTATATAATAGCATATATATCATAAACTTAGCATAATAATTGTAAAATTATGTTTAGGTTTTAAAGATAAGTTGGTGCGTAAGTTTTTATTTTATGTTTGATTAGTTTTAAATTTAGAATTGAAAGTTGAGTTTTAAAAATTATTTAGTGTTAGATTTACATAAAAGTTTGTGTTTAATTTTAATATATAGTTTGGTGCATACCTAAAATTTGAACAGTTGGAGAAGGTATGCGTGTAAGAGTTATAATAGAAATGTTAAAATTTGGAAGAATATGATATTCTAAAATTTGTAAATTAAATATTTGATAATGCAATATATTTATTTATAAATTATTATTTGGT